ATTGCTCGAGCGGTCGTTTGTCAAAAAATCCATGTATGCAAATTAACTAATGTTCATTTACATATATGATTGTGGTTCGGATTCGGGTTGCTAACGATTTTTGGGTTGAGGAGCTGCTTAAGGTTGTGGTTGGGGATGCACAGCAATTCCTACAGCGCATTTTAGTCCATATAGAACGACTGGTGGTCCAGACAACTTATTAGTTTATGTCATCAATGAAGTTTTGATATTTCTGGAACAGGACACTCTCTATCAATCCACTGCTTTCGATACCGTTCTATATACCGTGAAAACCGTGAAAACCTCTTCAAACCGTGAAAACCTCTTCAAATTCTTCTATTTTGACGATACAGGACTCAGTGTTTTAGATAAACGGATAGTTGCCACATAATTATGGATAGTACTGCTTAATGCGTTTAATACACGAGTTAGGATCGTAACCACTATTTTTGTTAAAACACAATGGAACCAGCGCTGAATAAAACCAAACGCGACACTTACATTTTGCACTAATGTGTTTCAATATTCTTTTTTTATTAAAAAATATCTGATTTGTATCTCATTTGGTTCTACAAGCCAGTACTTTCTCTTAGTTCGTTCGCTACTGCCCCTACAATTCTGTTCCCTTCTGTTCTCCTTTTCTCTTCTCATCTCTTCTCAACTCTCATTGTTACGCTTCTGTTAACTCCTTTTCATACATGGCGAGTTGTATGCAGCACTGATGTTGCCCACTCCAACTGGCTTCGTAATCTGTATCTATGCTTACGGATAAGGGATGAAACACAGACTACAAATTTGCATGTATCTTATAATATGTAATTTCCAACAATCTTTGGCATAAATTTTATGGTGCTGATTGTTGTCTACTTGTCTGTCCGTGGAAGTAATTTAAGCTTTCGCGCCCTCCCCCCTACATATCACGTAGGGGCACGTGAAATTTTGCGCAGACGGTGTTGTAAATCCACAACGAAACGTCTTGCATGCGTTGCAATTACTGTATCTCAAAGAAGGCTGAGTAAAAAAAAGGGAGAGGAATAAGTTCGGGAAAGCAACGACAGTATTATGTTTGACTCAGCTTCGGCTTCAACTCGACACAGCTCGACGCAGCCTCGACTGAGTTTCGGCTCATCAGCAGCGACGGAGGCAGTCCACTTAACACGCTTCGACCAGTTCAATTTGTAATTCGTGGTGAGCTTTTGTAAGAAACTTTTCTTTAATTCATTCATCACGCACGACCCTGTCTCTTTCGCTCGAAAGCCAACCATGAATCGACATCTTGAAAGTCGCCACTAAACTCCTGCTATTCATTTGTTCAGTGTTTGACAACTCTGTACCTTGTATAACTTGATAGTGGTAGACCGTCCCTCTAAAAACAATATCATTCGGCATGTGTTAGATAAGTTTCTTTTCCTCTGCTGGAACAAGGCGACAGTCAGGTACTTGTCACTGTGCAAAAAATAAGACACTGGGACCAACACGGAGAAGTAGATTAGTCGGAATCGCAACGAATCAAAACTGACAATGAAGAGCGCATTTTTTGAATGCTTTGGGAAACTTGGCCTTTTGATAAAGGCAGATGCAACTTGGTCGTCCAGGACTTCATTTCCATATAGCAAGGACTATTATATTTGCGGTAAGTCAATGCCTATTTCTATTAAGGTTGGGTCAAGAATGTTCCATCTAGCAAACGAAGATTATCCGTCTTTGTTCAGTGCTTTTTCTACAATTTTTGGGAATGCGCGAGCTGCATGTGGTAGTAGCAGCAATTACAGCAAACACTGAAGCTGCAGTGTGTATTGACTTCTACCTTACTAAAAGTCCAGTTAAGTTCACTATACACTGATGATTTAAAATGGACAACAGAATGGTCGTT